GGAAATTCAGCCAGCCCTTTCTTGGCTTCCTATCCATACTTGCCTGCCCAGACTCATGAAAGGTCTTATAACTACCCGAATGTTGGACCTGTTCAAAAAGACCATTTGTTCCTGAGAATAAAATCCCCTGGTGTCTTCCTCACCTTTCTGCACACCTCCAGTAGCTTATCAAAATATTTCTTTCATGTACACACCGGGCTCTCATTTAAGAAGAATTTGGGAGAATGTTATTTTCTCATTTGCATTTCACACAGGGCTCCCCCTTCTTCCTGGGGTGCTAGTGTCAGCAGAACCTGATGGGGAAGTGAGGTCTGGGAGGCAGAGGAGGAAGGAATGAGGGGAAAGGGGAAGTTTGGGAGGATCTGAGAAGACTAGTAAGAGAGAAGAAAAGCCTGCAGACAGAGGCCTCCAGCTTGGTCTGTCTCCCCACCTCCACCGGCATCTGCTGAGCTATGAGCCAAACCAGGGATTTACAGGGTAGGGAGGGTGGGATAGGCAGGGGCATCAGATCGGAGGAAGGAGATGGACAGACCTGGGCTGTGGGCTAGGAGGGCAGTCGCCTGGCCTAGGCAGGCTAACTGTGAATGTCCCTGGGTTGGTGTCAGGGTAAGGTGAGGAAAGGAGGGATGAGGGCTGATTAATCCTTTTCCCCCCGACACAGGAGGAAAAGCTTTTGGACTGCTGAAGGCCCAGCAGGAAGAAAGGCTGGATGAGATCAACAAGGTAGAAGGAAGAACTAAGGGGGCAGAGCCTGGGGGATGGGGCGTGGATAGGGAGGGCCTACCCTGGCTCTTATTTTCCTCTCCATAGCAATTCCTAGATGATCCCAAATATAGCAGTGATGAGGATCTGCCCTTCAAACTGAAAGCCTTCAAAGGTAAGGGGAAGACTGTAAGGGTGGAGGCGGGGCCGGGGGTAGGAGGGTTGGGATTTCCACAAGAACAGGGCAGGGACAGCAGAGGCACAAAGTTTACTTTTGTGGTAGCAAGAGGGGAGCCTGCCTTTATTGCCCTCCTGCCACATACTGCAGTCGCTTTCCCAGACCTGCTCCTCTCAGCATCCCCACTGGCTCCTTAAACTCTAGCTGGCTGTCAACTCCCCAACCCTGCTTCCTCTGCCTGCCCCTCCTCCTCCTTCCACATTGTCTCCTCTACCTAGCAGTTGGTTGACAACCCCTTCCTCAATCCCCTGCCAAAAACCCTCCAGTCATTGCTTACTCACTCTGCTCTCTCCCCTCATTCAGAGAAATACATGGAGTTTGACCTTAATGGAAACGGCGATATTGGTGAGAAACGGGTGACTGGGGCGGGGGGCGGGGGAGTGCAGGCCTAGGAAGGCAGAGGTCTCTCCTACGTGCTCCAATCCTCATCATTTGGGAGGGGGCCCACCTACCAGAGTGGGAGGAAGAAGAATGGGGATGTGGAACTGGGAGAGGAAAGAGAGAGTCTCCCTACCTTCTCCGCATCCCCATCCTCTGCCCCCAGATATCATGTCCCTGAAGCGAATGCTGGAGAAACTTGGGGTCCCCAAGACTCACCTAGAGCTAAAGAAATTAATTGGAGAGGTGTCCAGTGGCTCTGGGGAGACATTCAGCTACGCTGACTTTCTCAGGATGATGTTGGGCAAGAGATCTGCCATCCTAAAAATGTGAGTGTCAAGTCCCAATCTCCCCTATACTTACCTGTCTTCTCCTCCCCAACCCCTACCCTTGTCCCCAGGCTCAACTTTTCTACACTTTGCTCATCATCCATTCTTCCATCCTTAGAGGGACCCTTCCAAGGTCCTGTCCCCATCCCTATCCATAATCCTGGTCCCCACAGCCCCAGAACCTCCCACCCCTGCCCTTCCTCCTTCCCTTTCCACCTTTACATCTCATCCCTTTCAGCCTTTCCCAGTAGCCTACGATTTATTCCCTTGAGAAGAGTGTTCCCTGATCCCTGTGCCTCTTCCCATCTCAACCAGGATCCTGATGTATGAGGAAAAAGCAAGAGAACAGGAAAAGCCAACGGGTCCCCCAGCCAAGAAAGCTATCTCTGAGTTGCCCTGATTTGAAGGGAAAAGGAATGTGGTGGGTTTGAAGGGGGTTCTAATGACCCAGATATGGAAACAGAAGACAAAATTGTAAGCCAGAGTCAACGCATTAAATAAATTACCCTCCCTCTGCAGATCAAGTCAGCTTAGTTTTTATTTGGGGAATTTTTTTTCCTGGGTTTGGGAAGGAGAGACAGGTCTTGAGGGAAAGGTGGCAAGGATTTGCCCATATGAACAATCCACCAACAACACTGTAATGTGTCCACTATAGCAGATGGCATCATGCACCAAGGGGGATTCCAGCTGTATAAGACAGCCTTAACCTCAAGGAATGCAGGCAGGATGAAAAGACATGTCCAGTGTACCCAGGCCCATGACAGCTTTCATGAAGAGCAAGGAATACCTTGAACCAACATGCTCCGCCACTTTAAGCTTTGTCACTTTGACAAATCACTCAGCCTCTGTGAGTCTTTTCTCTGAAAATGGGGATAAAGTGACCTATGCTGTTGTACCTGACATATCACAAGCCCTCAATCATGTTTAAAACTTGAATGAATGGGTGGATGAATAAAAGAACTGGTGTTACTGAATAAAATAAAGAATTTACGGCTGAGCATGGTGGCTCACACCTGTAATCCCGACACTTTGGGAGGCCGAGGCAGGCGGATCACCTGAGGTCAAGAGTCCAAGACCAGCCTGGCTAACATGGTGAAACCCCATTTCTACTAAAAAATACAAAAATTAGCTGGGCATGGTGGCTCATGCCTATAATCTCAGCTACTTAGGAGGCTGAGGTAGGAGAATTGCTTGAACCAGGACCCGGGAGTCAGAGGTTGCAGTGAGCTGAGATTGCACCACTGCACTCCAGCCTGGGCTACAGATCGAGACTCCATCT